TAGACGGTCTTAGTATGCGCTCGAGGCTGATTTAAAGCAAAGAGCCGCACACTTATGTCGGATACGGTGCTAAGTCAGCAAAAGAGCTCATCATAACTGGCTAACTGGTAAATGCGAGATCGTGGTATGACCTAGAAGGTCCAAATAAATCACAAAATGCTTTACAATTTCTTTAAAAATTTAAAGCACAGTGTGTAATCGCATTCAATTTCGGATGTGGAAAACTCTTATCGTGAAGTGTTCGAGCTGGTGCGGTTGCAACTTAGTCTTATAGACTGCGAACATTGAATGCGTAGGTAAGGCGATGTGCTATAATAATTACTTTTACCCCACAACTCATACCTCTGCACCAGACCTGTGTTGCTTTTGTCAGCCTTGCCTTTCAGCCATAGCGTCGCGTACCGTGCGCATGACACACAATCTCACTGGGATTTAGTCACTGTTTCTACTATGATAAGTGGCCGGGCTGATATCATCTAGTCCAAACCTGATAGACGGTCCTCTCCCAAGAAAGATCGTAGCCACTTCGTGGCAGTGTCAAAGAGGGCCGAGGATTTACCAACCCATGTATGTAAATAAAAAAGCCTGCAGCAGTATATTCTGCGTATTAGCGGGAGCGACTCGCTTCCGCAGCGCTGACTTTTCAGGCAAGTGCTACCGAGGAGATCCTGACCGACACGGTGAGCGTGCTTCGTCTGACCATCTGTCTGTGTGATGGTCAGCGATTGAATTACACAAAGAAGCTTAACTGAAAGCGCAAATCATTATCCAATGCAATGGCTACTAGCAAGTCATATTGGAAAAAAACTTCGTCAAAGAGCATCTCGGCTGTATCATCGCCAGTCACATTATCCATGTTAGCAGTGTGATGAACCATTTTGCTCAGATGATCCAAGACAACCATAATATCGGTGAATCCAAAACGTCCATGTAAACGGGCTGTCAATATACACTGGAATTGTAAGGCTGATCAAACCTCATACGTCACAACCCGTTGTCCCGTTTCACACAAGCGCAAATATGCGCTTAACAAATTAACATGATAGGCCACAAATACACAGTGCTAAGTGAGCAAAAGTCTTTTCTGGTGACAGGTGGCCATGTTATGTTCCTCGTGCAATACTTTGTGCTTAATTTCTCATTGCGAGGTTTTTCTACTCGCTGGTGTTTAAGGGTCAGTGCTGTAAAATTGCAAGCCCTGGGATAAGGCATATTGTAACAGGCGCGCAATCGCGCTCCTTGATAAAGCGACACCACAGTTCCCAAATTTGTTGTTTCGCAAAGCGTTCTGTACATACCACACTTGTTGTATGTTATCCATACGCTGTACGTATCACTTCATCGATTACCGCATCATCATCTTGACATGCAACATCTCATAGTCGGGACATCGCGAAGTGTGTCGCATTAACCCGACCAGGCATCTTTTATAATTTAAAGGTATTTGCAGCGAGAAACAATTTTTTTTACCATTTTTCATTACAAGTCTGGTGACTACGTCGCTACACGGAACAATAAATGATGATTATACTTCACAAACAGCTTTGAGTCAAGCAGGTGCATTTTGAACTTGACGAGACCATCTTTGTCGTCAGCAGTTTTAAGGGTAGTAATTCTCAGCAAATCATAGACATAAATCCACGAGTCCGGTGCAAAATTCAATTTTGATGCGCTACAGAACAGTTTGGTTGTTGGGGCTTAATTCAGCGCCCTTGCACTTATTGTTGAATATAACAAATACTCATTCAAACAAGCGAGAGTCCTTCCGCTGCGGTAAACACTCGAGTCGGTTACTTTCGGAGTGGCTCGTTTGGCCACACGGAATGTCTAGTGTACTAGCGACATTAATTTGTCTCGTGATGCAGCAATTTGCGTCATTCAGCGACTTTGCGCAGATCTATTTCGACGACATACTCGTTCGAAGTCGAGCAGAGTTGTTGGTTGTAGTGATGCGACGAGCCATATCGAACAGTGGCTGATTAAGGCTAGGAAGAGTCGGAATCGGTACATACATAAATTTTCACTTACAACCTTGAAAGCCGTTTCTTCTGATGCTTTCAAGTAACATTGCTTTATAATTTTGATTTTGCAAAAAGTATTCGCAGGCCATTCTCCCGGTAAAGCTCCGAGTAAAGAAATCTTCGGCGCAAGGACACATTGTCTTTATGACATAACGCCATATTAAATCATTGATACATAACCAGTTTTCGCGAGGCTGTGTCATCTGAGATGCTTCACCCACTGCCATAGGCTATGCGTTTCTCCGAGAAGATGACAATAAATGTGATCGGGCGTTCAATTATCATCGATTCACTGGAAACGCACCTCAGCATCCTTATCATGGAATTATGGTTTCTTTCAGCCCATCGAATGAGATGACAGCGCTTCAAGTAAGGTTCCCCTGAAGAGCAGGCACGGTAAGTGCGGAGGATATAGTGAAATTCGAGGCGCAGTGGCTGCTCGTGTGGAGTGGTCACTCTTCCACAGTATCTTGAAAAGACAAAATAAGTGTGAGACTCATTATTCGAACAATTCTTGGTGGGGAAGATGTAAGGGGCAGATATCATAACCTTTAGTCATCAATCGTTGCAGATTCGGAACAATTGTATTGAATAAAATACGATGCAATTGTTCGAAGTCCACATTACATTCGTGAATATTCAACCAAAATATCAATATTCATGGGGATTGAATTTTGATTAGAACGCGGCTAGCCGCAACCCCAAAAATAAGAGTTTTATTATAAAAAAAGTAAATGCGTATATTTATTCTGTTACTAGCAGCGTCAATGTGCACATTTAAATAAAAGAGCAAGCTTAAGGTCTTTTAGCTACCTCAAAGCTCTTGCTTTCGAACTGAATAGAAGGGCGCGAGCCCAGACTTCGTGAACTCTTTAAAAGTCAAAGCTTGTTTTTATGCAAAATGCACGGCAATCAATCATCTTCATAGATACAACTATATTTTATTGGCATCTATGAATAAAACTGCAGTTACACAAAATTGAGATCGAAATTGTACAATTTTGTACAATTGTAATTATAGAGGTGTTGGGTAACACCGCATTGAAAATTCGAAAATATCCGTATCAGAAATCACAAGCTCATCCAGCAGAAATTTAAATATAATCCGATCTTGCATATGCTTTGCTTAGATTGTTTAAAAGACGAATAAGCCAACGGCGCGCAATTGGCGCTCGCGTACTCCACTCCACGATCAGGCCTTATGCAACCACAATTTCTGTGTTGTTCTAGACAGCACCATCGCACCTACCATAAAGAAACCTTTTATGATTTGTTGGAAGTTTGTCGGACTGGCAATCTCGTTGATAGAGCAATTAACGTTCAAGTCTAGAGTCTAACGGCTTGAACTAGTGTAAACAACGATATCTCAACAGTATAATAAAGCTTTTGCCGAATTGGCTGTTACAGAATGTATCAAATGACGGATCTACCAGCGCGCATGCTCAAAGAATTTCCTAACAAACAAACCTCTTACAAACACTTCTATCCACAACAAATATGCCGCCGGTAGTACCGCGACACACGATGCGTACGAATGGGCTAAAACTATATTCGACATTGATATCATCATAAAAGGAGTAGCGTTTAGATTGACATTGGAATCCAAACAAGTACCGTCGTGATAAAAGCTCCATTTTAAAACTACACTTTGACAAGTCAGTCATGACCGGCAAAGTTGAGTGAACTCTGTGGAAGGTTGTATGAAGCCATTTTAAATCCTGACAAGAGAGGAATGACTTGATATTAGTATCGGCAATACGGCTGCACCAGTCAAGACGTGCTCGTGGATTGCAAGCAGTACCTCACCGAAACATCCTACTCAATGGGTTCATGAGCACATATATAGTCCATAAGGAGGATTGTATACCGCCGACAGATGGTACCTTCGTGACAAAGCTTACCAGCCTTTCTTAAAACTTTTTTTTAAATTATATTGTGAGTGATGCATGAAGGGAGTTGACAATCATATCGCATGAAACGAATGTGTTGATACGAACAACGTTTATTAAACTTTAAGATGCAAAACTTGGGTCTCGCAAAGTATCGATATTTGAATCTTGCTGTTTTTTAGGGTACTAATCAGGCATCTATTTACTTTCTGGATGTTTCATACGTCTACGCATTGGTAATGAATCTGGAGGTTGCGAATAAAGTTTACGTACAGTTTCGTCGCACGCATATGCAGTAGTAAAAATGAGCTTGTTGGGATGTCAGAGAGCAGAACAAAAACATTTTTCTTGACAAGATTTCAGTTGGAGGTACCATACTTCGATACGAATTTTGTTTGTGAGTTGTATTTGTTATCGACTTCTAATTCTAAAAACTGAAAAATTACTCACAATAGAAATGAACGAACTGGTCAATTGAAGCGGCAGTACGTTTGCAGCTTTCGACTTGAATGAGTTTCGTGGGTGGTAAGTAATCTAGCTGAATACTGTCTTGTTCAAAAGTCGTAGATTCTCTGTCAGATGACCGTTTTATATGTTACTTGAAGTAGATAGATAGTAAGTAAATTTATATTCCGTCAACACATGGCGCGAGAAAAATGAAAACATTACCGTTGGGTTGATTACATGTATCCTCTCAACGTAATACCGCTAGGATTGTTCGCAATATCTGTGTATTGTCCTAGCGGTCACAACGCCTTAACCAAGGCACGAAATGGATGGTTGTCAATGCGTTGGCTATTCTTCAATGTTAAAGTCCCACGTCATCATCAATAAGTCGGTACATATACTAATCGTTGGAATTGTAACCATGTCTCGCACACTGCATGCGATTGAGTCTGTCCACCTTGTCAGCCGTCAGCCAGGCGACCTTTGCTAATCACTTCTGACGACATTGGTCTCATCCAACTTGCCTAATATACTTGTAATCTCCTAGACCGACTTTTTTTGAAAAGGATATATAACATTCTAAATCTGTAGACTAAACACTCTCGAATTTCCTCCACCCAAACCATCAGACCTTGACATCACAATGCAGGCAGTGCGCCAACACCTGAACAAGCGTGTCGAACGCTTGACACCGAAGCCTGCAGCATCCGTGTCGGATTCGACTTTCTGGAATGACGGTGAGCCGCCTGCTCCACCGTTGTCGTTGTCTATTGCGTTACGAAACAAAATGGCCGATGCTGAAGCTATTCATGACAGCATCGACTTTGCCAACTTTATTAACTTTGCTGAGTTGCCACAAATGCCATTTTTTCGGAACAATCAAACGAGCTGGAAACGCGTTCAACGCTCGTCGGCCTTCACGTTGTTGAAACGAGAAAACGAAGTGTTGGCTCAAGTTCGTTTGGATGCAAGCATCGAAGAAGTTGCAAGCGTCTTGGGTGCAACGACGGATTTGCTACATGCTGCGACAATGGAAGGACTGTACGATAATTCATTCATTGCTGGCTCAGTCGCGTATGTTGAACGTCCCGAATCGTTCGAGACGGATCAAGCACTTCAACATGTGGCAGTAAAGACGTCTAACTTTGTTCATTCAAAGCTATTGGGCAAGAACGAGCAGTGGTGTTTTGGAGAAACACTGCGCAGCAAACCGGAAGGAGACAGCTTTACCATCACTCAAATTTCGCTTGAAGCGCATCAGTCCCAGTTGCTCCCCGCTCGTCTTGCTCTTGATGACAAAAAACGTCGTGTGGCACAGCTTCGGGACGTAAGCGCTGCTTACCTTGTGGAGCGCTTGCCTGAGAGTCAAAAGCTCCGTATCACATTTCACGCGTTGCATAATCCTCGTGAACCACAAATGTCGGATGAAGACAATGCTCCAGTCTTGGCTCGCCGAGCTGTCAAGTCGCGCCTCTTGCGTCTAGCTCGGGGCACATCGGAGCTTTCTCAAGTCGTTCGTCGTCGTCGCTTTGGTGTACAAGTATTTGCCGATCACTCAGCATTTCATGTTCGCAATCCACGATGCACGTGTTGCACGCACAAGTTTGCACCGTTTCTTAAGATTATGCCAAGGACCCGATGTTATTTGTGTGGTTACTACGTATGCATCTCCTGTGCATCGTCGGAAAAGATAGAGACGTATACTGGCCAAGTTGCGTCGATCAATGTCTGCGTTCGATGCGTCAAGAGCGTTATCTCTTGCAATTACGAGCACATGCTTTCCGTCAGACCAGGACCTGAGCGTGTGTTTGCCGATGACGCATCGACTCCACGCTCAGTGTGCACTGTCGACACGTCAAGTACCGCAGCCTCTGACTTTTCGGGGTTTCTCGATTCTCCATCAAGTCAAAAGCTTGGGAGTTTTCTCACTCAAGTCGTGACGGATGATTCCACGGAAGTGTCAATGGGACAGCGTCGTGCTGCGTTTATGGTACTGGAGCAATTATTGCTGCTAGATCAAGAAGAGGCGCAGAATCAAGCGGACAAAAACGCGCAGCTTCTTCATGCTGCAAGTGACCGCCAGCCAACGGAAGCAGCAAGACAGGCGTTGGATGTGTCGAAATGCCCAAAGGAACTGGAGGCCTGTCAATTTGCAAGTGCTACTGCTCGTCCATACCCAATGATGCCGGCCGTTGTCTTGGATGATGAAAAAAATAACGAGGCGGTTCCGATTGTTTACCCCATTCCAGCCAACGAAAACGATCGCTTGGCAGCTATTGAACACTATGGTCTCCATGACATTGCCAACGTGGCCGAGTTAAATGTCATCTGTACGCTAGCAGCAGCCGAAATGAACTGTCCTCACAGTGTCGTCACGCTTGTGGAACGTGAGGTCGTGACGCTGCTTGCCACCAATGCTCCAGATTACTGGGATATTGGCAGTGGTAACCCCCGCGAGCAAACATTCTGTCAACACTTTGTCATGGATGATAAGCCTTTGCTCGTCCGTCATGCTGAAGCAGATATGCGATTTTACCACATTGCACCGGTGACTATGCGCAGTCTTCGATTCTACTCTGGTTTTCCCTTGTCGGTGCCGTGTGTATCAAAAACGGCGGGTAAACACGAACGGATAGTCGTCGGAGCACTCTGCTGTCTGGACGAAGACCCACACGAGATGACACGGTCGCAGTACTGGCGACTAATGAAACTAGCGGATGCAGCATCCAACATTTTGGAAAAGACAGCGCGAGAATTTGCTGCCGATCCAGTGAATCACCCAATCACTCTTACTCGTGCAAAAATGCAGGACTTTCAGGGCACGCGAGTGCCGCCAGTCACCTGCTAATGATCATTGAGTAAGTCTCTGCTCTCAATTGTCGTGCTACTGGTGGGGATGCAACTACCAAGCACATGTGTGTATCACGACTCGTGTATATTTCATGTCTGTTTCAAATCTGCTTTCAACTTGTTTAACTGCTAAAGCAAAACCCGATCACAATTATACCGTTTTCAATTGTATGTAAAATGTTGTTCACTAGCTGGTTTTCTTTGTAATTGAAACAGAATCAGGAGCATAAGCTCGGATCACACTAGAAAACACCGACATTATATAACCAATATGAACACATGGCGAGCACAGCAGCAACGTGAATACGTAGTGGAACACCTGTTTACTTTTCAGAGACATCCTCTTACCACTTAATGCCAAGAATGCGTCATCTATAGCATAATAGATATCTTCAAGCATCAAGTAGACATTTGCTTTTATAGTAGTGAGGCCTTCGAAAACAAACGTTGAGATCAATCAGATTAAATTCAAAGATGGTTTTCAAATTGTTATACAAGACGGCGCTACAAATTCTTTCAAGAGCAAAGGCATACGGCATCAACACTGAAAGATTTTGAGTATGGAAAAATGACCTCAAAGTTAGTGCAAGAAAATTCGAGATCTAGAACAAAGATAAATGTAAGCTTAATCTGCAGCCGTCAGGCTGATTGAGCAATCAGCACCCATTCAAGCTAGTTACCTGGGTCTAACTTCCTTATAGCGATTCAACTTCCAACTCTTTTGAGATTGGGCGACTCTTGGTAACATATTCTTTCGCAGTTTTCTCCAAGATATTAGATGCTGCTTTTGCTAGCTTCACCAATCGCCAGTATTGCGATCGCGTCATGTTGCGCGGTTTTTCATCGAGACAGCACAACGCACCAATAATGACCTTGCTTGCCTGCCCAGAATTATTTGATACACTTGAAATTGTCAATGGGAAGCCTGCATAGAACTGCAGATTAAGTTTAGTCACGGGTGCAATGCGCTCAAATCGTGGGTCGGTCTCAGCATGGTGCACAAGCAACGGTTTCTCATGCATGATAAATTGCTGACAGAATGTCTGTTCACGAGGATTGCCACTACCAACTTCCCAGTATTCGTGGTTATTGGCTGCCAGTATCGATACCACATCGCGTTCCACGAGGGTGACAATTCCATGAGGACAATTCATTTCAGCAGCAGCAAGGGAGCAAATGAGATTTAACTCAGGAACGTTAAGAATGTCGTGGAGAGAATAATGATGAATGGCATTCATTCGAATCTCCTCATTCGCTGGAATAGGATACATAGTTGGTTCTGGTTCCGATTCTTTTGATTTGGTGGGAGCCAGAACTGGCGTTGCAGAGTTGACATCACTCGCAAAGTCACAAGCGTCTAGTTCCTTAGGGTATTGCGACACATCCAAAGCATCTTTTAAAGCTTCTACCATTCGTGAGTCTTCAAGTTGAGTGCTGATGTCAGCTACTTCCGATGTCTTATTTGGGGCAATAAGCAACAGTTGTCCAAGTACATCCATTGCAGCACGACGCTGACGCAGAGTCTCCTGGTTTGATTCATCACTTGCACCTTGAGTCAGCAGCTCTAAAAGTTTTTGGCTGGAAGGCGATTCATTGTACGTCGGAGATGCAGGTGACTCGTCATCAGAAATTACATGCAGTGACGCAATTTGCAATGAAGACTTGAATTCCACCGCTTTCACAGAAGATAAAGTTGTGCTTCCAATGCAATTTTCTAGAACGTCCGCAGGCATTGTCTTCTTGTCGTTAACTTTAGTAGTAAAATCAATAAATGATTCAGAGATAGTCTATCAGACCTGAGGTGGTTCCATGTTCTGCGAAATGGGTTGTCCACATATGAGAGATGTTGGTTTGAACTAACCCAGTGAATGAGGCTACAAACCATCCACAATCTGGGCGCAGCCAAAAGTTTCAGTATTCTAACCAGACAGCTTCTAAATAATATGATCGGAACAAAAGCGTCGATATGAGGTAAAGTTACCGTTTGCCACATGTCGTTGTGTACAACCTTTCGTATTGTATATATTCGTTGTATTGACCGTAAATATTATAGTGACCAAAATGTCGTCAGATTTATAACGGAAGTTATAAATCAGCAAACTATTATAGTCCTTTACTTTGCTCGACTAATCAATCGAAGATCTTTTCGAGCCTGTCCTGTGAGGTGCGACTTGTTGCCATCCGGCTTTCGTTGCTCTCTGTGGTACAGACAGGGCATAATGTAGGAATAGATATTTCTTACGCTCTGGCTCATATTTGCCGCAATATTACATCTGTTTTTGTCATTATTCAAATGGAAATATAATTTAATAATATTTGGAAATGTAATTTTGTTGTTGGGATTTGATATTTCTCCTCTTAAATACGTCCTTAAAGCCATTCAAGCTCAGTGGCTAGTGTAGTATGTTGCGAGGGTCTGGCAATGCAGTGCGTCGACTATCGTCATCTTTCCCATCCAACCACAAGCACATTCTCATCAAAACGTCTACTTACACCACAGCGCGGACAACACTGTTACATAAGGTACCAGCAGCAGTATTAAGCTCTGCTTCACGCCATTCAAAGATCTCGACAAGAATTGCAAGTCATGCTGCTTCGTGTTTTGGAACTTTTCGCAATTTGCGTTGGTCTTTGCCAACTCCAAGTCGACGGATGATATTATTACAAAATTCAAATGCTGTGCGAACATTTGCAGCAGCATCAAATACTGGTGGCGGCGTGCAAGGTGACTTTGTTTGTCATCTACAGGACGTAGGCATGACAATTCCAGGCGGCAAAAAACTCTTTGAACGCATAAGTCTGGGCTTCCTGCGAGGTGCAAAGATTGGTGTTCTGGGTCCGAATGGTAGTGGTAAATCCACTCTGCTGAAGATTATTGCCGGCGTGCACAAGGATTTTGACGGCGATCGATGGATAAAGGATGGACTTAAAGTGGGCTATTTGCCGCAGGAACCGCAACTTGACCCGACAAAGAACGTGTACGAGAATATAATGGACGGTCTGAAGGAAAGTCAGACACTGTTGACTAGGTTTGATGAAGTTTCTATGGCCCTGGGCGAACCCGACGCCGATTTTGACGCCTTGTTGGAAGAACAGGCTATGCTGCAAGATCAAATTGAGAATTTGGGCTGCTGGGATTTAAGTCATGAAGTTGCTAAGGCCATGGCTGCATTAAGAGTTCCAGCTGCTGATGCAAACATTGACGATCTATCTGGCGGCGAGAAACGTCGCGTAGCACTATGCAGATTGTTGCTTGAAAAACCCGATATGCTGCTACTTGATGAGCCCACAAATCACTTGGATGCAGAATCAGTGCATTGGCTGGAAAACTATTTGAACAAATACCGCGGTACTGTTCTCTCTATTACGCACGACCGCTACTTTTTGGATAATGTAGCTGGCTGGGTGATGGAGCTTGACCGTGGTCAGACGTACGCATACCAAGGTAACTACACCGAGTGGTTAAAACAGCGTCGCAACCGCTTTAATATGCAACGAAAAAGTGATGTAGCTCGCGCGAAACAAATTGCGTCGGAGATTGCATGGTCGCGGGATCATCAAGGCAGTAAAAAGGCAAACAAAGCTCGTCTGAAAAGACTGCAAGAGATGGAAACTAGCGGATTCCGTGCGTCTTCTCGACTTGAAGAAGGACAGATTGTTGTACCATTGGGAGCTCGACTTGGCAATCGAGTAATTCAGGTGAAAAATTTGCGCAAACAGCTAGACAATGGCCGTCTACTATTTGACAAGCTCTCGTTTGAGATCCCGCCTCGTGCTATCGTAGGAATTATAGGTGGCAATGGAATGGGTAAAAGCACACTATTTAACATCATTGCTGGTACACAAGAACCTGACGAAGGTAGCGTTGAGCTTGGTCAGTCAGTCAGCCTCGGTTATGTAAACCAGAGCCGTGACGAGATGAGCTCTAGACGCTCTGTTTACGAGGAAATTTCGGGCGATAACGAGTTTGTCGAAGTTGGTGGCGATCGCATAAATTCTCGAGCATATATTGCCAGTTTTAATTTACGCGGTGGTATGCAGGAGAAAAAGGTCGGTAGTCTTAGTGGTGGCGAGCGTAATCGTGTTCACTTGGCTAAGATGCTTTTGGGCGGCCACAATGTGATTTTGCTCGATGAACCAACAAATGATCTCGACGTTGATACTTTGCGATCACTGGAGATTGCTTTAACAGACTTTAATGGTGTGTCCATGGTCATTTCTCATGATCGATGGTTTCTAGATCGTATTTGCTCGCACATTATCGCGTTCGAGGGCGAAGGTCGCGTAATCTTTTTCGACGGTAATTATACTGAGTACGAAAAGGAGCGAAAGCAGAATTTAGCAATGTAGAAAAGTGGTCTAAGATACTAAGAACCTGAGCCTTCACACATTTGTCGAAATCGCCGCTCAATATCGGGTGGCACTTGAGATAAAAGCCTTTGAACATTAATCTTCTTGCACAGTAGTGTCTTCGAGATGTGAAGATAAAAAGGGTGGAGACAAATGGAATACTGCGTTAATTAGTTTCCCTAAAATTAACTTGTCAATCAAGAAGTATTGATGGGTATGCCTCCACCATCAACTGGCCAAACTCACGTGTTGGTGGTGATTTCAAACGAAGATGGATGCGTAAAGCGGCGGCGAAACGGATGCCATCGATCAGAAACGAATGAAAGAATTGGCCGTTTTTGTACAACAACTCAAACGATGGCGAAGAACGCAAGGTTGGAAAACTGTTGGAAATTTCGACAAAGCTCTTTGGTTCACCTATCTGCAGTGGCTCTACATCCGAAAAGAGAATTGGATTCATCGAGCAAAGTTCGAGATCGGGTCAACCACTCGATAGAATTCTTCTGGTTGGCATCCTTGCGGTGTTTTGGAAAATTTTGCTTGTGACGAAGCATAAGGACGTGGCCTACCGTCAGCTTAATGAACCAGAAGTCTACTTTACTTGGAGCGTTGATCGTTACAAGAGCTTGTTTATGCCGCATGCTGGAAGACCTACGTTGAATTTCTTATGGAAATGAAGCCGGTGGATTATTGTGGTAGGATGAATCTGACCGTGCGTTTCTGGTCGCCTGTCCGAGAACTAAAAACTGTTAAGACGAATTGTTTTGAGGTGTGTATGGATCCATGGACATTTGCCGATGCGGAGCAAGACAAAGCAAGAGTACTATTTCGCTGCGAGCAAATTTGAGCTTATCTTCACCTACATAAGCGACGCGTGAGTAGGGTCAAATAACCATATTTAACTGTAATGGATACAAACATGATGGATACAAACGTGATAACCATGCCTTTTGTGTTTAGATAAATCTATATTTTTTCATTAAAGCCGAGATACCCCTTAGGTGGTTGGCTGTTTTAGAATAGAGGTGTCCTTCGACTTCAAAAAGCAATTGAAAATATGGTGACGCTGTACTGTGCGGTGGTAAGAAAAGAAGGGAGTGCATTCTCCTTGGATATCGATGCAAGCACTATCCACAGAATCAGCGACGTTTTCATCAGCCGCTGCCGTCATATAGCTGCATACCAAAGCAGTGGTGCTCGATGTATTGTACCGGAAAGACAATAAAGTTCAGCTCTGGAATAAAGTACTATTGTCAGAGAGATGGGTCGTCGACGCTTCTCACACGGAGCCAAAAGTGAGAATCCTGTGAAGGCGAAATCTCCATTTCGGTCGGAACACCAGTAACACGTGCATATCCGGTTCGTTTGTCTTGCGAAGTCAAACTCCAGCTTTTCCCCAATTGCATCATTCAAATTCCACACCGACTGGCTTGCATCTATATCCACCGATATGCATTTCCTGCGTCTCCAATCAACGCACAGTACAGTGTCACCATGTTTCCAATTGCTTTTTGAGGACGAGCGAAGCCTCTCTATTCGTATCACAGCCAATCAATTGGCATTTTGTCACCACCCATCTTGGCTGACCACAACCACCAATATTAATATAAAAATTCATATGGACACAAAAGTCATGGATACTACTTATGTATCCGACACATTATTTTCAGTTAGCCACGCGTCACCCATCTAAATGACTTTTGCTTTGTTCACCACCGATTGGCTCAATATCCACGAGTTTGATCATTCACGCTTAACATACATATTGATTGAATTAGGGTTAAAATTGCTTTTTGATAAAATGAGCCTTAATTTCCTAATTAGTGTCTTTTGATTATTACTATCAATACTTCTGTGCAATGGATGGAGAAGCAGGGATCGCATTTCTCGTGTATATTGACCAGTCGGTGGTGGACTTGGAAGTTGTGATTCTACGAAGCAGGAGTACAATCTGCTGCGAGCACCCTTAACATATATTTTTTTAATTTAATTTAAGGTAAAATTGCTTTTGAAGAAAATCGTCAAAAAGACCCAAATTTCATAAATACTGATTTTTGATTATCACTATCATACTCTTTTCCTGTTAGCAATTACCCATTTGCAGCGTTGCGTTCTTTGCGCAACTTCTCAAACACGCAATGCCAAAGTCAACTTTTCATTGGACGTATGTGCAAAATCTGCTCACAGAATTGTATCGAACTCGGATACGTCGAGTTCTTTTGGGCCTCAGAGCAAGCGTGATCCCAGATGATTCTTAAATCGTTAGTTGTTGCTGAACAATCTTTTTAACATACTGCGTCACCTTGATATCAACTTTCGTTCTACAATTCTTCCCATCCTCGTTTGTGTAGGATTGAACAGTGAAACTGTCGTATATTTCCGATGATTTCTGAACAGCTTTCAATGGACCATGTCGCGTGACAGTTCCGAAATCGCTTTCTTCGAGAGCTCTCATACAGAATTAGCTAGTGGCAATGCTTTACCGGCTTCATTTCCATAAAAAATCCATCGTAGGTCCTTCCAGAATACCACGAAAGCGAGCTCTTGTAACGATCAGTGTTCCAAGAGAAGTACACTACTGGTTTTAAGCTGACAATAGTCATTGTGCTTCGTCATGTACAGCAGATGCAAAAATCACCCATACACCGAATTTCCAATCCCAGAATTGCCAACCACAAGAATCCTATCGAGTGCTTGACCTGTTCTTAAATTTGCTCGATGATATCATCAAGGTCACAAGACTCAGGTCGGATGTAAAGCCACTGCAAATAAATTTATCAAAGAATTCTGTCGAAGTTTCCAACAGTTTTCCAACCTTGAGTACTACGCCATTGTTAAGTTGTTGATCAAGTGCGGCCAATTCTTTTATTCGTTTCAGATCGATGGTATCCGTCTGCCGCCGTTTTACGCCTCTATTTTCGGTCCGAACCAGCACCAACACATTTGCAGGGGCTTCCTCATTTTTATCAACTTCTCCCGCAACTTGCTCTTCAGACAGACCAATATGATAAACGTATCCTCGCGCGGCTTTCAGAAATTCAGGGCCATTTGTATCACCTATTTCGTTTTTATTTAGCCACGCGTTGCCCATCTTGGTCTGAAATTGCTCTAGCTTGCTCACCCGCAAAAAAAAATACTTTGCTCCAAAATCACATCTTTCGAGTCCATCACCGACTGACTCAATGTCCACGACGGACGGAATCCGCGCTTTTCCATCCAATGCACAGATGAGGTTTAATTTTTTCCGTTTAGTTCACTTTCAGAGTTTACATGGCTTGAAAGTAGGTCTTTGATCCAAAAGCTGGTTATAGAGTAAAACCGGCTTTAATGAGCAAAACTCGTGCTAATGATCTGCCTTCTTGAGCACCGTATACACCTTACTAGGAGACGTATGAACCTTCAAACTTGTATGGAGTACTAGTGGTAGCGAAAATATGAAAAGGGTTTTCTTATTACTCATTCGTTCAGTATCGACGCGTAATTTTTTGAAGAAATCAAACAGTTTTCACGTTTCTCTTCACTTTCTTCTTGTCTCCTTCAATAAGGCGGCTGGAGTATAGCAACCGATCGCGACATGGATCCAAATGAACCTGAGCGATGCCGATTTGTTGTATGAAGCAAAAAATTCGCATCGAAACGGTTGGTGCGATACCGATCGTCCTCTAGAAATGTCATTGCACGTAATAATGGGCAATCTGCAGTCAAGTAACGGATCTGAGCTTGCATCGTCCATATCTGAATCCTGATTCATGTGCCAGTTTGAATTACGTTTTCAATGGTCGTCTGCTTGAGATATACATTCTAGAATGTTGATGCGCCATTAAGTGGCCGTCTCCAGCGAATCAGCAGCAAGTGCGACAGGACCTTTACTGCGGCGTATTTGAGACATTACAGCACCCGTGTAAAGTACTAGCAGCAGCTGCTGCACTCATGCTCATACCCATGACACCTATTTCGACACCAGTCAGACCATCGGTTAATATGCTGCAGTAGCTACTGCTGCTGTCCGGTTCCATAATTTCCTGGACGACACGCGCTTGGCGTTTTCTCACAATTCAGAAATCGTATCATGTAAGACAGCGGCTGAATCGAGCAGACAATCTGGTAACTCGGTTCCTAATCGGAGTAGTGTCATCCTGGGCGTTTGGAACGTAAAGAGCTTTAAGGTCTCAACTCATGCTTTTTGCCTAGAAAAAATGTCTGATAAATTTATATGGTAAACTCAAGCATTTTAATTGGTTGAAGTAAACGCTACAAATATTATGAGCACGAAAATATCGCGTTTATTAAGGCAGAGTCATTGCCACCATCTAGACATGTCGACCTCGTCATCGCCTTCGCATAAGTGCACCACTATCTTTGTATCGTCACGCAAGAGCCAATTAGCCATGGCGCAGACCAATTTTGTCATTGCAATGTTGAATAAGCAATTTCCAGATCTGCATTTTGTTGTGGGTCAAGAAGACACAGTTGGTGACCAAGTTCTCGATCGCCACTTGAGCGAGTTGGGGTCCAACACGGCCTCAGGTCTTTTTACCAAGAGTCTTGAAGAGGCGCTTTTAGCCAAGACCGCTAGTTTTGCGGTTCACTCACTCAAAGATATGCCCACAACGCTGCCGGACGGACTCGTGCTAGCTGCCATCACCAAGCGGGAGAGTCCTGAAGACGCTGCGATCATCCATCCAAAGCATAAGGCTAATGGAGTGAAATCACTGAAGGAATTGCCTGACAATAGTGTTATTGGAACCAGCTCATTGCGACGCGAAGCGCTATTGCGAAGACAATTTCCGACCTTTGAGATCAAGACGCTGCGTGGTAACATTCAGACAAGATTGGCCAAACTAGATGAACACGACGACTATGACGCCATCGTAGTTGCAGCTTGTGGTTTTCGACGTGGAAATCTTGGAGACAGAATTGATGAGATTCTACCTGCAGACTCTTTTGGGTATGGAGTAGGTCAAGGAAGCATTGGTGTTGAATGCCGTGCAGATGATGAGGAAGTACGTGAAGAAGTTGGGGATATTGTAACGAGCATAATAAGTACTGAGTTCTGCCCTGTGATAGACAATCAAAATGCTTCAAAGTATAACGGATGAAAAGTCGGCGCAATTGTGTATGGCGGAACGAAGTTTGCTGTACCATCTTGAAGGCGGGTGTCAGGTCTGATTGAGTCAGCAATACGGAATTCGTCTATGCACTTATCTAATACTCTACTCTTTGTGATCTGCATAGATTGCTATGGGCGTGAATGCAACTCTAGATGAAGAAACACTTACATTAAATTCGACACTTTTGTCACGCGATGGAAAGGAAAGCGTCTTCGGTACGCGTGAGATCTTGGCTGTCTTGATAAATGACATGTAATCGAAAGTTTGTTGTGATGCTACAGACTCGATCTCAGGCCCACGTTCAAAGTGCGAAGAGCTTGGAAAAGAGCTTGCTGAGCGTTTTTGGAGTAATGACCTTGCTCGAAAATTGCTAGGCAAGACTCAGCAAAAACGTGCATTGACTTACGGCGATGCTGATGCCCCTGGTGACGCTGCAGCTGCGGCCGATATTAAAAGAGCTAGAACTTAGAAAAGAGATACATCATTGTACTATTTTGACATGGAATGAAATTTGCGATATAGTCTGGGTACAATTATATGTATAGCTAATTTTTAAACAGCTTGGTTCCAGTCATTTCAGAGCTAATCGCGTTAAAGGTTCAACCATCTCGTGCTACCTGTTCGTGGTAATACTGAGCTAAAGAAGCTCGTGATAGAGCGCAATATAATCACACCACAAGTCACACGCATTGATACGTAGTACTTTTACACATTATCGTGTTTCAAGCCATGTCCAGTAACCAGTCAACACGCGCTCAGAATAGTCGTGTACTCCAAGCCTTTCGTGCCATTGGTGTGGTGGTTGATGATGTACCGATTGTGTGGTATGGCATGGGCAAGGCTAGCTTTGCTACAGCGTCATTAGGCAAGTCTTTTGTCGTCTACAATTGCGATAAACTCACGCCCGTGTTAGTGTCACCTCAATTACCGAAGCGTATCAGAGCGCTGGCCGTACAACCCAAGAAACATCTTACAATTACAGCTTGTGGACGTCAGATTATTATATGGAAGCGAGTGCAGCGTATCAAGACGCTACTAGGCCACAAGGGAAGTATCAAACAGATGCTGACAGTGGGCAACGTTCTTTTTACGCTTGATAACGAGCACGATATCAAGATTTGGGATCTTGATACCATGGAACTTGTGAGCACGCTGAGTTTCCCGATGAGCTTTACACCCACTGTGATGATGCATCCAAACACTTATTTGAATAAAATTCTGGTTGGATCGGAGCAAGGTGCGCTACAGCTCTGGAACATCCGTAAAATGAAGTGTGTGTACGAGTTTACAGGATGGAAGAGTGCTGTCACATCACTCGAACAGAGTCCAGCTATAGATGTGGTGAGTATTGGACTTGCTGATGGTCGACTTATGGTACATCATTTGCAGCTTGATGAGCGCGTGATGGACTTTAAGCAAGAGCAGGAGAGCATTGTCACAGCCATGTCGTTTCGGACAGATGTCGGTGCTTCTACAACGCCACTTATTGTGTCGGGATCGCGGTCAGGAGATATTGCAGTATGGAATCTCCAGACGAAGCAGTTGGAATCAATTATTGCTAGTGCACATGATGGCTCTGTGGTCTCACTCCAATTCTTGGCCAATGAACCCTTGTTGCTGTCATCAGGTACAGATAATTCGATCAAATTGTGGATTTTTGACCATTTGAACGGCGGAACGGCTCGTCTATTGAAATCTCGCGAAGGTCACCGAGCCCCACCAACACGCATTCGTTATTATGGCAACAATACGTTAGCAACGATGGCGGACGGTGCCGATGGCACTTGTTGTCAGATCTTGTCGGCCGGACAAGACCGTGCCTTTCGTGTATTTCACACAGCTCGTGAACAACAGAGTCGCGAGCTGTCTCAAGGCTCTGTTTTGAAAAAAGCTCGCAGTTTGAACGTTCGTGTGGAGGATTTAAAACTACCGCCTATTGTCCAGTTTGCAGCGATGGAGACACGTGCTCGTGATTGGGCGAATGTTGTGACGTGCCACGAAAACGAACTTGCAGCGTATGTGTGGCGATTTGACCACCGTACAATTGGCAAGAAGGTGCTACGTCAATTTGATCCGAGCGACCACGTTGCATTGGGTAGCAATGAAGATTTGCGTCGCAAAAAGACACAGGCAACAAGTGTTGCAATCAGTTCATGTGGTAATTACGCTCTTGTGGGGAGCTTAGGTGGCTCAATCTTTCGCTACAATATGCAGTCGGGTGAGAGACGTGGGTCGTACCCTGTGGCAGCGACGCCCAGAGCCAAAATTATTCGTTCGCTCGTGCTACCTGGTACAGATCTGTCGTCGTTGCAGGACGATGAGGCTGATAAGACGGCGATTCATGCTCACAATGGACCAGTTAGTGCGGTAGCTGTGGATGCGCTAAATGAAACTCTGGTATCTACTGGTATTGATGGGAAGATTAAATTCTGGGGCTTTACAAAGCATGAATTGCGATACGAGGTCGACGTTGGATCTCCAATTAGTCAAATGGAGCTACATAGCGATAGTAACTTGCTGTGTGTGGCATGTGATGACCAAATTCTACGTCTTTATGACGTAAGTACGCACAAGCTCGTGCGTCGCTTTGCTGGTCACTTTCACCGTATAACAGATCTGAAATTTAGCTCGGATGCTCGGTGGCTTTTCTCGTCTTCAGCTGATGCTTCGTTGCGAGTGTGGGATATTCCAACTGGCAAGTGCGTTGACTGGATGCGATTCCAAAAGCCTGTGACGGGACTGGCCGTATCACCGACGGGTGAGTTTGTTGCGACCACCCATGTCGCTCACGTCGGCATCTTCTTGTGGGCGAACCGGAGCTTTTTCACAGAGGTTTTCCTCGACTCAGAGCCTACAGAACCCATTTTAATGGATATGCCAGTGTGTTTAAATGAAGTGGATAACAGCGATCACCTTGGATTTGGATATGAACGGAATTCTCAATCATCTCTGTCAAATCTAGTAGAGGATCATCGACTGAAAGAAGCGAGAATAGAAGATAGTGACGAGTTTTCAAAGCCGCTTGATGAGTCATTAATCACTCTGTCGACAACTCCGCGTGCTTTCTGGCAGTCACTGTTTAATCTCGAGCTTATCAAAAAGCGAAACAAACCTATTGAGCCCCCGAAAGTGCCTGAACAGGCTCCATTTTTTCTTCATACGGCACGCAAAGACGATGTGCATCCGACTTTTGTATCTGTACCAACTGAAAAGAAGGCTGAGACGGTCCAGCAAGATGTCGTTATGGATGGATGGGGTGGTGATGATGATGACGCATGGGGAGGCGATGATGACGAGGAATTAGAAGACGATGAAAAGACTGCTTCTGGCTCACATATTCTAAAGACTGAAGGAATGGTGACTACTCGCTGTAAACTAGCCACGTTGCTGGCAAAAGCTGTAGAGGAGGAACAAGACGAAGATCACCCAAGCTCGTGCTTTAAAGACGTTGCGGCATACATGCAGTCATTATCTGCTTCCGCTGTGGACGTCGAATTGAGTACATTGTGCATGGGAGACTTTGATGACGATGGGAAAAAGTTGTTGGGTTGGTTTCTAGATTTCCTGCGTAAGGAGATGAGTGGACGTCAGAACTTTCAGGTGCTACAGGCTTATCTGAACCGGTTCCTGAAGCTGCACGAGGATCTTCTGGTCGCGGATCCAGCACTACTGGCTCAGGCTGATGCTTTAGGAACTATCCAACAACAACAGTGGCAACACTTGCAAAAGTTACTGCACAATAATTTGTGTCTGGTGCAATATCTCAGTAAGATCCAGATGTAAGATTATAAAGTCGTGCGGTTTCTTCACGTAGTATTTCAAAGTAAATGCCTCACATAACTGTCGACACTTCTGTTGGAGTAAATCGTACTTTAAAGTGACAACTTTCAAAAGTAAATCGTACTTTAAAGTGACAACTTTCAAAAGTAACCTCTCACTTCAGTGAGTACGTGGTGGTCTTGCCATAGAAACTATCAAACCCCTCAGCGAGGTTCAATCAGTGACGCAGCCGTTTTGGGCGCATCGATCCTGTACACAACGACGTTGTATTCGTCCATAGTCGTGCTGTGCACAGTTCACAGGGGTTACATTAAAGCACTTGAAAGTGCTCGATGAAATACACTATCTGCACACGTAGAGAAATTTATCTCGGATAACCACTATCTCTTTCGGCAATGCTTCCAGACGAAGCATTGCCTGCGTGCAGGCCTCGCCGAGACCAATACAATGCACAGAAGTTGGATTGATGTACTCCACCCAGAAATGGGAACAGAGCTACTTACGTCGCGAAGCATTGATATATCAAGAATGACATATATCAAGTCACACTACATATAAGCTCTACGAAAGCCAGCTTTTGGTTGAAACATGTCGGACCTCTCTTCTAACCTCATTAGTATCATTACTTTTTGTCCTTTCGATGCTACACAAATTTCCAAAAAAGTGGTGAAAACTCTGTACAATTTTACTCTGCACAATCGCACAGAAGAGTCAAATGCACTATTCCATTACACCCTCACTAATATGTGACCTTACCGATCCTGTGGTGCAGTGGAATGCTGTTCACTTCAGGACGAAGAGGTCCTGGGTTCAATCCCCGGGCCGGGTAGAGCGGGGTTAGAGTGTAATGAATAAAACCCGACAGCACGTGCATGACATGGCTTACACGACTCGTGACGTTTTAAAGCTACTCACTAACATGTGACCACATTGGGGTTTACTCATCTGTTCATTTCCTCAGGCAATGCTCAAAAGTGAAAGCTCAACGGAAGCTAATGCAGCGGTGCTGCATTAGGCTTTTTGCTTATAGAAAGCTAAGCTAAGGTCACCGACCTAACGTTTCATTCTAGAACCAGTATGAGTGTAGCGGATTGCAATCTGCCAACTCCAAGAGTACTCAAAACCTTGACCCAGGGCGAATATGTTCTTCTTTTTAAAATCCAAACTGTTTTTCTTTTGTTTTATTTGTGACCTAACCGCATATATCTAAATCCTAACTAAACAGTAAAACCAATTGAAATTGCAAAACTACTGGCAGTCTCGCCGCGTTGTGGCTTCCCGATAAGGTGTAGACAAATCATTGTGTGGTCACACCATCTTGTGTGTCCCACCCTTTTTACCAGGGTACGTGTCACACCGTTACACTCTCCCCATCAAAATTGTGAATACCCACACTTCACATGTAACTGTCGCCTCCTTAGATGCTCGCGTGTCTCAGACACCTTTGAGTCCTCAGAACATTCTTCACGCTTTCTCTGCCCAATGAGCCCTGTGCCTATGCCACCAAGAAGCCCCAGCCTCGCTGGTTCCGCGGAAAGAGACCGTCTTTGTCTTCTGCGCGCGGTGCAACTCCGGACAGTATGTAACGGGGTTACATTTGCCTTTGTACGAATTGGCGGGTCGCACAAGATGGTGTGACCTAACATAGGTGTAGATTACACAAGTTGGAAGTGGTATGGCTACACCGTAACAAGAAGCCACTATGTGGCAGGATTACTAGTTACAATGCATGATACTTCGCGTCGTGTTGCACACCGCGCTTCTCGGCAGAAGCTCGGGAAGCCGGAGGGCTCAAGCTATGGCCCTGAGCTGCTGTAGTCGTAGACTCAGCCGTGTGAGAAATTACAGAGCTTGCAGGAGTGTTATGGATTGACAATTTGCAGGAAGTCGGCGTTGTACCTTGAGTTTTGCTCAATCTGAGATGGCATTTAACGCGCACTTCCACTTCCTTGTGGCTTTGCTGTAAGGTAGACAGCGAAGAAAGTTTCCTGTACCACTGCACCCATCGCTCAAAGAGCTCATCATCAGGCGAGCATCACATGGATGGTCTGCATTGCGGAAACCGGAGCACCTCCTTTTTAGCTCGAAGTCGAGCGCGGTACCGATTCATTGGGTCTATTGGGAAAACCAAAAAGTGAGCTCGCAAAGCTTTCCGCTGATCAAGCTCAGTTTGTATAGTGACCGGAGGCCCAACAACTTAGACGCCTAAAGATCGAGTGATCGTATCTTACGCTTCAGCAGCGGGATCCGCCTAGCGGAAGCCTAATTTAACACGAAGTTCTAAGACCGAACGTGGATACTAGAGCAGGAAGGCCTCCGTGTGAGCAGCCTCCATTTGCTGCTCCTGTGCCAGGTTGAGGCGATTAGTTATAAGACCACTTCCTATGGAAGCCGAGAGATCGGGGAACGGACATGGGGTCCGCAGAATTTGAGCTGGGCTCACATCGCGCCGTTGGCGCACTTCATCTTCCTCGTCATTCCATGCTGAGAAAGGAGTGTCCGACTCTTAGTCGAATTTCTCCAACTCCTCGACTAGGATATTTATCGCCCGGAACGGGCGCGGTGTGATGTGCTCAGTTGCCGAGGGCTTGAGATATGCTTGTCGTATAGCCGCGGACGTACTGTCCGGAGATGCACCCTGTGCAGAAGAAGATGAAGGGCTTTGCCCGCGGGCACCCTCGCTACCATCGAGGCTGGCTGTGTTGCGTGTCGTAGACACAGAGCTTATAGAGCGGAGAAGGTTTAAAGTTGTTCTTATGAACGTAAAGATGTCTCAGACACGCGAGCCTCGTATGAGGTGGTATTTAATGTGAATTGAGGATATTCACAGGGGAGAGTGTAACTGGGTAACACGTGGTCTTGTGAGAAAACGCGGGTCGCACAAGATTGTGCGACTGTACATAGCCGTGTATTACACAGTCAGTGTAATCACACAGTGGTGTGGCTACACCGTAACAAGAAACCACCACATGGCAGGATTGCCAGTAGTAATGGATACTACTATATTTATTAGGTTCAGGTTCGTTTTAAACAAAAGTTTTCGTTTGCTTTGGTAAGGCTTTAATAGTTAGAAGTAGTGGATTGCAATCTGCCACATTTGTACTGGTTCTTGGAAAGAACGTAAAGGTTGGTGACCTTAGCTTAGCTCTCTCTAAGCAAAGAGCTACGGCAGCCTCGCTGCATTTGAGGTAAGGCGTTAGCTGGGCTGGCATTATGTGATGGCTGATGCATTTTAAGGTTGAACGTTGAAATATTGAAGTGCGAGGTTGCACGTCACCGCAACGCTTTCCCAGGACTTGCTGTATTACAGTTCTGACTAACATGATACCTAGCATGTTTTCAGACATCATTATGACATCTCATACACAGATTAATGCACATATGATACCTTTTAAGTGGCCACACATACATCACGATGAGTGTTAGATGATATGTATTACATGTGGGCAAACATATATGCGCATATGTCAAACGAGTCAGAAGGTTAAATCCTCGCCGTTTGCAACAACATCGTTGGTTAGCTTAGCAGCTCCGGACGAATTTTAGCATAAATAGTTTTTTATTCTTCCAAAGGACGCGTCCGGTGATGCCGGTATTGTGGCTTTGTGAACCATCCGAGCAAGGTGGCTCATCTCGCAGATGTCAGCGATCATATAACCGGAGATCTTATAGGGAATGTTAACGTTAATTGTATCTTCAACATGGCTTACCGGTAAGTGACAAATAGAGATCCACGTTCTACAGCAGGTTTTGTTTAAGTTGCTCGGCACCAGATTTGATATGTTAATCACTGACCGTTCGCAGACGGATGATCCGATGAGAATATCTTTTTGTAATGACAACTGCGCAGAGAAACCATGGTGCTGGGGCAAGTTCTCCCAACTAAATGCGTTTGCGCTTGATGAGGAATGTCCTTACAAGCTTGGTAGCCCCGTGTGAAGTGCGGTCTTATTGAAGGGAGGGTTGTCTTTCAAAATTGACTTGCTGGTATCATTCGTTCCGGCAACACAGATTTTGATAGTTCACATCAAATTTAGTAATATTATGACAATGAAATTTAGCGTTGTGAGCAATGTGCGCGAAGCTATTGCTGGAAGCCGAGACAAACAAACGATAAACGCCAATGTCAGAGGAAGATTCTTATTACATTGAGCATACCTATGCAATGTCTGCTGTCAATAAAGATAAGTTGCGACCGGATCGTTCATGGTCGCACCAAAAAAATGGTTGATTTGCTATCAAAATATATCGAGGCTTATGCAAACACGCCTGGTGTTCTATGTGGGCACACTGAAGCCATACATCGACCCCACTTCGACATTTAAGTGTGACATGAAGAGCTCTGCTGCAGGCAACGCAAATGCTTCATTATCCCTCGCCAAGCTATCTTATCCAGCAAAGCAATTCTGTGCTTGTTGGAATGACTTACAGACATACCGTGCGTTAGTGAAACTCAGAGAGAAAGTCAAAGATCTGAAGCTTTATCACACGCCGTGAATTTTATAAAGGCTCACCGTGCCGTCGCAGCTAAAAGAACTAGCCAATAGAGGAGCGATTATATTGACGTGGAATGTCTCAGGCCGGCGTTTATACTACGAGTTTGTGGTTCACTTCGGCAAGATTGCCATAGCGTTGCGTACCAACGGACCTGTAGCACCTCGGCCTTTATCTACCATGAAAAAGAAGTGGTTTCGCTCGCCACAGCGTGTTTTGATTGGTGGAAGGCAACCAACTTTGGAAAAATTGAAATCCTTGGTCAGTAGCTGTAACAATTGCCTTGTGACGACGAGCGGGGATGTAAACAGCAGGGTTTAAATCAAACGTGGACGTCCGTGTACTTGCGTAGCAACGAAAAATATGCTCTCATCGGACTTCCGCTTTGCTGAAGGTTGTTTGTGAATTCTACAGACGATTGAAGTGGCGTGATACCCAAACGTATTGGCCAAAGTTGGATTGATTCTGATCGGCACGTTTTACGCTTTAAGTACCCAAGATACATCCCTCATGAAGTGTGTGGGTCATCCCATCTGCTGATTCTCCAAGTCTGGACCCTTTTATTCAGAAAAGACTATCTGTAAGCTCTTGCAGAGCAATTTTCTCACACTTAGAGTGTGAGGACTCGAAAAAGCGACTTTCAACAGATATTACGGCGTAATTATCGGGACAAGTCGAAGTGGCTTTTGCGCTTGTAGTTGAGAGATCTTGTGCTTCTTCATCCAGATCCATCTTGGCAATGAAAGCGTGCTAGACATCATCACGAGTCCCACAGAGTTAGGAATTTTCGCCGATGAAAATAGATGTTGAGAGGGGAAAATGAGCTTAGTGAGTGCTACCTTCTTGCAAACGGCTAGGCCGTGTATTGCCGGATGAGAGCGGGTGTGTTTGAGGTCAGGACCGAAGTGTCACTACACGTTCTCATCGAAATACAACTCGGCAACCTCCCCAGCTATTCTTTTGAGAGCGTCGGTCGCAACGATTGTCTTTTTGTTCAAACTCATTTAGCTACTTATTTTGGTGCATGAAGGCGAATGTCTGGTAAAAGCATGCTCTTGATGGCAAGCGCGGTAAATGCAGAGCATGAGTGGAATTCTAGGAGCAGCGGGTGCCCGCGGAGCGGTCCCTTTTGTACAGCGCTTAAGACCACAAAATGGGTTTAATCCCATTCTGGTCTCCATTCTTATGGAAGAGGGTGTCACGTGAATGAGCTTCATTCTTGTATCCCCTACACATTTGGTTCAAGTGTATTAAACACAATAAGGTATCGCTGCACAAGTCCAACGATTGAATGCGCAGATAAAGGGCAGGCGTAAGCACGTAAGTACTTCCCGGTCTCAATCTGTTCGAAATTGACTCTGAGCGGGAATTGCGCAGCTGTGTTGTCCAGAATTTACTATCCATCAATTAATTTGCATATAAAAAACTGCAAGCAATCGTCGAGAAATTCCTAGTCCGACACATGACGATCTCAAGAAAACCCAATTGCGCAAGTCGATCGTCAGGGATTCAAGGTGGAGTTTCAGCTAACAGACGATGCTCGCAACAATAACGCTGTCATTAAAGCATGCGTGACACAAGGTCAAGTCAAAGCAAACAAAGTACGCCTTGATTTGAAAGCACCTAGGCTGTAACAGTATGCGATGAAGCCAACAATTACCTAAGATCATGAGTCAGATCCGATACAAAACGTGTTCAGGTTAGACCAACTAAAGCGCTACAGGAAGATCATGCCAACTTTACGTCAAGACCAATTAACAGATGCGTCGCCAGTTTTGGAGGCTAAAAGATGTGCGATTTTGGATAAACTTCAAGTTCGCGGAGGAATCGAGTATTTGGTCATGATGCGGCTGTCTACGACGAAAGTGAAATGGAAATGGAACCCGACAAATGCATCGAGCATGTTTTCGTTATTAATAAATTGCCGCAAGAACCGGCTATCCGTGCGAATATACGGGTGGCATGACGTCTGCAGAAGTATACAATGATTGGCTAACGTTTGACAAATGCTTGATTAGGTTTTACTACATTAAGTATTATTTTATCGCTAAAGAGAACCTTAGGTTTTAGATTTTGGCGGCTCTGACGGAACTAAATAGTTCAATACTGTTTCAGTTTCGAACAGAAGTGTTTGTTTGTCTTGGCTAAGATTTTATGTACTATTGGAGGCAGCGGATTGCGATCCGCTACACTCGTACTGATACTTGTAAAGAACGTATGGTCGGTGACCTTGGCTGAGCTTCCCTTAAGCAAAGAGCTACAGCAGCCCCGCTGTAGTGCGTGTATTCCACTAATTTTAAAACGGAAAGAGCAACAAAAGTCGCTCTGCAAGCAAGAGTCCTTCTTGCGCCTGGAGCAGGAGCGTTCAAATAAACTCGACTTTAAGGAGGTCCGAACCTTAGGAATCATTTGCTGACGAGAGTGCTGATGGACATCGCACTCAAATTGCGCACTGGAACAGAAAGACGCACCACCTTATCTGTCTCGTAGCTAAGAAATCCAGCTCCAGTAAAACAAACGTCCAATTTAAGTCTTGTTTAACGCATCACTACCTCAGTCACAGTATACAGCGTGGACGGCGAGAGAAATCCTACCACACTTCAGTTTTCCGGAGTTTCTAAACCCGTTCAGTTCAATTGACAGCTGCTACAAATTTCGACCAAGTGTGGACCTCATAACGGGGTTGTCTTCCGCTTATCGAATGCAACCAATCTATGGGACGAAACTATCCAAAAATCATACAATAATGGCGGTGTGTCCAGGTGAGCGCCAAAAAGTAAATGCTTTATTCAAAAATAGTTATTTTGCTGGAGGTGACTTGAGGCACCTCCAGCGACTTAAATTACTATCGCAGCTATAGAAAAGATGATATCCAGCTGCAGAAAACGACAGAGGTTCTACTTCGGCTTTTATAGGGCGTTTCTACCCAACTGACTCGTGGAGCGGGATCGCGATTTGGCTAAAGCAAGCTCATGTAAGCGCATGTGTTCGACCTCTCTTTCGGGTACCAAGAGTGTAACTTAGTCTCTTTTTCGTTACGACCGTGAGTGGGTCCGATGTAGCGTGAGCGTAATTTAAACTTTAATACCGCAGATGCTGTGTGTAAATGTTTTAATCGCATTCAATAAACCATTTACTCCATAATACATTCTTATGTGGCTTTCCTATCTCTCGCAACGGCATGTCGATCTGAAACATCCTAATTCTTAGACCTAGCAAAAACTTTAAGGATTTTGTCAGCGCAAAACCTTTCTTATCCTGAGCCTAGGTTCGAATCGAAATACGACCTCATTTTCGTCACTGAGTGGCTTGAACGTCACGGGCCAACGTTTTAAATTTCAAAAATGGTGCCACGCACTTTTCGCGCGGTAGATATTTGGCGAGCCATGACCCACTTCCACCAGGAGGCAAAAGCGCTTTCGGCACGGGTACGAGGTTGCGATATAGCTCGTTCAGAAATGGAGATTGTCCAAATTAAGATCAATGATATTGCTGAGTGCATCAAACGAAGCTCAGAAGGCGAAAGATACAGTGCGTCGCACGGTCTCAGGATGAGAAGAATAGAGCGACTGGATATCGCAGTGCGCCAGACGTATACTTGTAAAGAATGAAATGCGCGACTGTAATTTTTTAAGTCTTAAAAAGCCTTGCTGACGGGAAGGGAAAGTACAGCTGTGAGCTGATGTCTCCTACATCAATGCTGATGAAGAGTGGAAGCGACTGAGTGAAATTATATCCCAAACAGAGGCCGGTGGCCTTGAAGATCAGCTATGAAGTGCGAAAAGAAGTATGGTTCATCTTGCCACGATGTCATAGTACTGTTGTGTCGGCACTGCCGTGAGAAGGGGTTAATTAACTGATTGTGATGCTTCACGGGAACGTGGCGAGAAAGATTATCTACTCGTAAATGTGCTGATTGAGGTATTTTTAGAACTACTACTTGGGGACTTGCACTGGTGACGAGACCGACATGCCTCTGTCTTTCGAGTTAGGTGGTGTAAGCCAGTCCCTTCTACTGAACACTTTCCTTTGAAACTGAAGTTCAAGCTTGTCAAGGCTTAAGCTCCGTACACCCAAGATCTTGATAAGCTGAAGCTGAGGTTGATCCACCGAACACCCTTGATTTATAAAAAAAGGAGTCCGAGGGTTTCTTAGTATAATCTTTAGGAGTACTTGGAGTGGTTTGCAAGCAGCCAGGAACCAAAACGCATTTTACTTCAGTTGCAAATATACCTTTAAGGTGTTAAGTCGTTCGTCTTCCCTCCAAATCCAGGCAATCTTTCTCTTCCCACGTCGGCATACCTCATTGCAAGTAAATTAATATTATGAACAGGGTGCTTCACACTAATGAGAATGAAACTCGATCGTACGTTCATGACTGTTAGCATATTCTTGGAGTAAATATTAACCTATGGAATAGACTTAAGAGTCGCAGACAACATGAATTAGACGATATGATTGATAAGAGCCAGAACCAGGGAGCCCATCAGGCTTTCACTCACAGCCTTGAAGACCAATTTCTATACCACGCTCTCAAGTCATCTCATCAAACGCTACTTGTTGAAGTAGTTGAGCGAACGAGCCACTTGTTGATGTGTTTTTAAGACAGGGGCACTGGCGAATCAACATTCAGCGTTTCATAGTCAATAGACTCTGCTTCCCAAAGAGGCAGCCCAGAAAGGGAATTTCGTCGGCGTCAAAAAGGCACACAGTTTACATTGGCAGTTATGTAACTGCACATCTTGAGCGCGGCTGAAAAGTGATGATATGGCTCACCACATCCGACATCCCGTGCTCTGTACGACTTTGGACAAATATAGCATCTGATAAGAACAGTTGAGTGTGCGCCTTCATAGTTCTGGGCCGTTTGTAATCTGTACGGATCATGCTTTAATATGTCGTCATTACATATCCGACAGAGAATAGCAAGACATTTATCGGTCTCTGCCGAATACATCTCTAAGAAAAGGAAAAATTTGGGTCGGCTTAACGTGGTGGCGGACTCTTCTCAGCAATGATTTTTGATACGGCTTGTTGAAAGACATTGTAACAGATAAATATCAGCGCTTGAAAGGGAAGTTTCGTCGAACACTGTTTAATATACTCGGCACCAGATTGAACATGTCAGTCGCTGACCATCTTTAATGAGATGGTTGAGGATATCTATCGAAGAAGCTGAGAGGCAAGACCGTTGTGCTGAAGTGAAGTGCCCTGTTTCATTATGTTCGCGCAGTACTCTTCTGTTCTTGTTCACGCCTCCTTAGATCCTTCACGCTTTTTATATAATTCTGGGTGGTTTTGACACCGTCATGAAGTGGTTCTGGTGCGCTGGGGGGGTCGATCAAAATCGACTTGCTGATATCAGCCTGGTTAAAATTCGTTGTAAAATCACATATTTTATCTCAACAAGATTGACTTCATGCGCAGGTTGTGCGACGGAACGGCAGAGATCCTGAGTATCCAACTTTGCACGTCGATACTGAGAGGCTAAACTATCACGATGGCGAATGTTTTTTTGTATGCAGTCAATTTGCTAGACATACAAAGGTAGCGGTCTATAATACTAACTTGCGTCCGCGCTACGTTGGACCTTTGATCGGCGTGGCTGCGATGGAATGAAACCATGATTTGGATATCCCAAAGTAGACGTAAATAAATCCTGTGTTTTACTTAGGATATCATATGAGCCAATCGTATGTGATGTGCATTGTTGGAGAAGAAGCTGCGTCTTTACCACCGATCCGTTTCAAATCACAGTACAATGGCGTAATTCGGAAAGCGCAATCAAATACAAATTTATCCAAGTTTGGGCGGATGACGGTACTAATCGACGTTCCGCCACAATGGAGTGAGCTCATGACAGCAAACCATAAGAGAGTCGGTCTCCTTCGTCAAAGGTACTCATACTGCCAGAGCTGGTCCAATATCACGTGGAAAGGCTGGGACGACCTCCTTTGAATTTCCAAGCAAATTGGAATTCTCTAAGAAACGAATTGCTTCAGGGTATCAGATTGAAATTTGGACAGTTGCAGCATCTGACGAACTTAATATATTATTCGGGAAAAAAACATGTTAAAAAGACATAACGCGAACTGCAAGATATTGTCGACTACAAAGCGCTGACATTTCTAAAGGTGTAGAGCTTAAGCGCAAAGAAGTGAAGTGTATAATAAGTGGAACCTTCCATCCTGCATTCAAGAACACTGACATCGGTTTAAGCTGTTCGAATGTTGGGTTGTACTCACACGGAATGCAGGAATAATCCTGCCTTGTGCGTCCGTTACTTTAAATAAGCGATCAATTTGAGTCGTAACCGGGATAATTTGAAGTTTGTTAACGACGATCAATCACGCAAAAACTGCGGTATCGCGATTTGATCACGATACATCAAATTTGAAACTGTCGCCTGTTTTTGAAACGTGACAAGGATATATGAAGAGATTATGACTAGAGCTTAACAATTCAGTCTGCTTCGCGCAAGCATACACCATTTATAGCTACTCTGCTACCCACCAGATATACATATATTGATTTGTTCTTCAAGGGCCTTAAGTTTTCGGTCAAGCGGTGAGGGAATCTACCACTACCCTCATATGCCGCAAATAATGTAGATGTACGAGCTCAACCGCGTCCCTATCAGAGTTCGTTCGATATCTTGACTAATCACTGTTAATTGATAGACGACCAGCTTATGTTTTAGGTACAAGGCAGTTTATCGGCTCTCCCAAAACATCTCGGCAATAGCAAACCGCAACACAATCCAAGTCGGCACCAAGCAAGAAGCTATCAAGTAAATCTAGAAGGTGGATGGCAACGTACCCTCGCGAGCGGAGGTCCGCTTGCAGCGGGGCAGCCATAGCTCCTTGCTCAGAGAAAGCTATGCTAAGGTCCCCGATCTTATGTTCCACACTAGAACCAGTATGAGTGTAGCGGATCGCAATCCGCTACCTCCAAGAGTATTTGAAACCTTAACTCAACTAAATTTCCCGCTTCTGAAAATACCTAACTACTGGCAGTCCCGCCACGTAGTGGCTTCTTGTTATGGTGTAGCCACAACAGTGTGTGGTCACACCATCTGGTGTGACCCACCTTTTCATATTATGGTATGTGCAATCCCCTTACAACGCTTCCGTTAGATGTGGTGGGGCTGTTGTTCGGCGTAAGGCCTGATGAGATTTTGGCCGCAAATCCTTTTCAGAAGCACCATGTCGGTAGCGGGCGCAAGTCTATTTCACTCGTTATGCTTGACGACTAGATCGTTCCGAAAAGACTTCCCAAGAAGAAGGTCACACGTGTCTGAATTGTCGACATGGCTTAGGCCATCTTCACGTCGTTGCATGCGACGGAAGAAGAACTTAAAGTCGTTGATGAAATCGACCTATTAGACTGCCTGCTGTATAGATCTGTATGTTTTCTCACTCTGCCGCATGATCAATCTCGCTTTTCTTACGGCTGAGAAGCTCGCTGCGCAAACGATCTCCTTTATGCGGTATTTGACCGGAGCAAAGCTGAGCGTGAATCGCGAAATAACTACCCTCATGGATGAGACAGCGGTTTGCGTTGGGGGTGCGCTAGTCATGAAAACGGTATACATCATGTCGAAGTTCAGTCGACGTGATTCGCGTCAATATGTGTTGCTATCATGCGTGTTGAGGCAGCGATTGGAATAATGTTAGTTCCGTTCTCATTTGCAAGGATAAGCCGGTCGGATCGTTTCAGAAGCTTTATGGATACTTCGCCACAAAGCATCCGCGAGTATGGATTGACAGCGTGTGATTTAAGCGGTAAATTGATTTCAAGTTCCCTCTTCTCAACACCAGTGAAATTTGGGACCCGATGAGAGCATCTTCGAGGGGGTCGAGGAAAAAATGCAGACGCGCAAGATTGGAATGTGTGTTGTTCTTGGTTGACTTACACCCTAAATACAGGCTGGTATTCGCCGTTTAAAGTGGTTTCAAGGTCATTCTGAGTGCTGAGATCAACTCGTGGAGCAATTGTTGTACACGCAGTTTGGTAAATCTCGTCATCCTGAAGTAAGCTGGGTCCGTCGTGCGTTGCGCAAAGCAGATCCAGCCACAGTTTCTGTTCCTAATGTTGCTATAGGCATTTGCGACAACGTCAACAACTGGCATATTGCATGCCACGATGTTTACCAAGAGAAACTTTTCAAAGCTTGAGAATACACACGGCATTCTGCAAATCTTTGAAAACGAACGATTCATGATGATATGATCCAGGTTTCCGTTTCGCCAATAAGTTTTGTTGGTTTGTCGGTATAAACCGAAGTGAATATATTTAGGTCCTTAGTTCGCTATCCTGTGCTAAATCTAAGTTCATGTATCTAGATCATTCTAGAAGCTTTTACAAGCAACCTGGTTTATCTAAACCAATGAACGACTACCATTATGTCCGTAGTAAAGACGATAGTAACTGTAAAAATTACCGTTATACTTGTGACGTCATCCCCTTGCTGCATTCGATCGTGTCCTTTAGACGTACGCATCGCCAACAAAGCAATCTACATAAATGAAAAGATGTTCATTAGCAATAGACCTTTAGTCGGTTAGAGTGGCCTTGTAGCTATCAAAAGTGCAGTGATGTATGGTTGTGATTTATAGCAACAACAGGCTAAACGAAATTGTCACTGCCTTGCTGACGCACTTTCAGCGGTGTATCTCAACAAGTTCATCGCATAGCCTGTACAAGCTCACTTACTTTTAGTATTTACCTTTTTGAAGGCATCATCTCTCGGCACTTCTCATGCTCGAGATCTGCATCTCTAATAATTACGTGAAAAGGAAAAGCATGTTCGGTCCTTTGAAGTGTCAAAACCTTTACCAATAAGGTAAAAAGCTTGTAAAATTGTAAATTGAGGACCACAAGTCCATGTTACTGCTGTGAAAACTTAGGTTGGTCCAAAGTTCTGTTCCTTAATCCCACACGACAATCAAAGGAAGGGCAGGAATATTCGTGATTGCTTTTCGATAGTGAGATTGGTCGCTGGAGACCTGCTAGAGCCAGGTTTAACATTGCTTGTGGTCTCAAAAGCAGTATCTAGCTCCTGATATACGCCCCGCACAGGAAGACACAAATTACGGACCCAATATCAGAAGAAACTCAGATCACTCATGTAAGTCCTGAGATCGCGGAGGAAAATAAAGAAATTCCTCAAAGATTTCAGTGACGCTATTGTTCGCATTGCTGTCGGAATTCTGCGACTAAATATCGCGCGCTTGCATGCATTGGATAGCTCTGATCAGACACCTTGAAAGTCAGGAGGTTACCATTACTTGCGTCCGACTATACAAATCATTGCTATCATTTTTAAAAATTATGGTGGAATTTTCACAACAATGTGATTATATATTTTTTAGAAACCTACAAAGGTCATCTTGCTGCCGACAAATATGTTGTTCAGGAGGTTCTGTCTTTTTTCGGACTGTAAAAGACGACATCACTGACCATGGCTCACGATGGGTCTTCAGACGATGATTCTTCCTACTTAGACACCCAAGAGTCTGCTGATGATGAGACGATGCCACTTTATGGCAAGAGCGTAATGGAAGTCGAAATGTCGCCTCTATCTTCCCCTAAATATTCTTCAGAGCTAACATCTCAAAATCCGATCGGCCGTCCAAAAGCTACATCCGCTGCTGCAGCGCCAATCTCATCATTAACCAGTATTTTACACACCGTCAACTCCGATGAAATTTATCAAGGCATGGAAGCTCAGAGACGCACACAATCGGAGAGCAATCTGAGAATAGAAGGCTTAAGCTCTGGACTTTCGATCTCAATTAATTCAGCAATTCCTGTGGCCTATCTCACTAGCCCTGCACATTCCGAATCAGCACTTACAAGTCAACGGACAGCACCATCTCCTCCATCAATTTCTGTACGACCAGCAGCTGATACAAAACCAAGTGGATTTATGACACTTGGAGGTACTTTACTGGCCGGAATGGCTGATTTAGCAGGGCTTAAGTCACCAAAAGGCACAGTACATAGAGTTTACGTAGTGTATTCAACTCCAGGACCACTTTTTGTAGATCTTTACTCTAGAGACGATGGTACAGGAGCACGAGTGAGGGGATTTCGACGCAAAGCTGATGGGTCAATGGCAGACACTGAAGCTTCAGGACGAGTTTATCCTGGTGATGAGCTTGTGATGATCAACGCTATAACAGTCACAAAAATGTTATTTAGTGATATTATTACTGCGGCAAAAATGGCGACGTTTCCATTAACTTTAGTATTTCACTGTTACTCGACGCATCGAGAGGAATTTGAAAAGAACAAGACAATCACAAGTAAACAATCAAATGGGCCGTTGCCTCCAATGAGTCCATCGAGCAGTATTGGATGGGGAGCAAGATTAAATCAAATGACCAGATCAGGATCATTTGATCAAAAGACGAGTGGATTAAATACAAAAATTGGGTCTCCCTCTCATTCGTCAAATGTAGAACCGAATGGAGGAAAATTTGGGTTTTCATTAGGTGCAGATGGGGTGAAAAAGAACATATTCCGTATTATCGGTAACAAGCCTGCACGACCAGAGGAAGATGTGAATATTGTAAGAGGATGGATGAATGATCTGGCTTTAAAGCCACACAATAATTTGACTGGAGGACGTCATCGAAAAGCGCCATTGAAAACAAATACGGATGTGCTTCACTCGACACCGATTGTCGCTGTGACTACTGGAGGGAGATTTGTGGGTGTCTTAGACGACGATCAAAATGAATTTGCACTCACGTGGTTTCGAAAAACACCAATAGAATTGGAGATTCAACAGATTAAAGGAGTGACTCGATGTCCTTATTTTCCATCTGTGGACGATGTGGGTGCGATTATATGCTTACAATGCGTATCACTGCGTTTTCCTCAAATCAAACGCATAGTTGAAATGCCAGGTCCGTTAGTACTCGATCCAGCAGTAGGAGATACCGTCAATGAATTACTAGAAGCGGGAGCTGGATCGTTCTCTGCGACGCTCGCGAGCAATGAACATGATAGCTTTCAGATCAAGATTTCGTCGGATGCAGTGACATTAGTTAAAATTTCAGAAGACGAAGATGAAGGAGGTGTGATTGTGAAGGCGATTTACAGCTCATTTCTCCAAGTACTGCTTGATCCTGCAGATCAATTACGATTCACACTTAAAGTCCAGGAATTTGGTGGGTTGTTAGGAAATCGAGAAGGTGACGTGTGTGATTTGAAAAACGAACAAACGCAGCTCCAGTCGCTGTCGTGCTTTTTTCTGGTAGCACAAAATAGACAGAACCGCGACATTATGACGCTTTTAATTCGCAAGTGTCGAGCTCGTGTGATTTCGTTTGAACAAGAAGAAGAAGCGCAAAGTGACGAGCGTAATCTGTTTATGGATCCATCCTCTATTGAAGATCCGGAGTCTCCACTGTTAAGATCACATCCGTTTGAATCAGATGTGGAAGCTTTGTCACCAGTAGGAGCTTCAGGTGAGACAGCGAGCGATACTGATTCACCAGGTGCAATCACAGGAGTAATGTCGTCGCCGTTGACTGAAAAGTCCCTTTCACCTCAAGGAGAAGAGTGGTTGATTGCTGATTCAGACGCTCGACTCATCGATTTAGTTGGCTTAGAACCGGAAGATTTCAGAGACATGGTGAAGGAGAAAACCGTTGACTCCTTGACGTCTTCATCGACTTTACAACAGGCTGCTATGACATCAAAAAAAAGTGAGGCTGGAATGATCAGCAACGGTATAAATGGCCACGACAGTTTATTTGTCGAAGGCCGATTGGCAGCACAGGACAGAGAGATGGCTATGCTTCGAAAGAAGATCACTTCTGTGACTGTGTTACTGAAACTAGCTGAACAAGAGAACAAGCAAGTTGCTGCATCCCTCGAGATTAAAGATAATCGCATTGAGCTTCAGCAACAGAAGCTTAGGCAGCTTGAAAAGCTATCCGAGCAATGCACCTCTCAAGCTCATGAGATCAGTGTCTTACGTACAAAGTTGAAGGTAGAGGAGATGCGAAACGAACAGTGTCAAAAAGAGTTACAACAAGTGCTTCACGTGGCTGCAAATCATACGTTAGAGATGCATGACCAAGTCGTTCAAACAGAGGCACAGTTTTTCACTTCAGAAGGCTCTGAAAATGGGACATTGACTTCGTGGGAACGCGATGCACAGTCTGGAACTGTGGCTAGAGTAGATGCCCGCGATTTGCAGCAACAAATTCAAATTCTCACACTTCAATTAGAAGAGCTACAGGAGGAGCAGGTGGAGCTAAAGACCGAGCGTAATATGTTTCGCGCAAAGTCGCTACAGCTCTCCAAGGAACTTCGTAAATTAATGAAAGCAAACGACAATTGCCCATTAGACGACATTGCGGCACAGTTGGCAGAGCGTCGTACACTTGAAGCAGAACTTGCTGTTGTCAAGGCGTCTGCAAAGAGAACAGCAGACGAGCTAAATAACTTAAAGAGTTTACTTGTAAATGGAGACAAAGATAAAGGCGCGAAACGTCTTGCTGCTCAGATCGTCGAACTGCAACGCAAAGTACTTCAGCTTCAAGATTCTTTAAACGAATCGAGAGATCAAAATGACGCAGTAAAACGCATCAATACGGCGCTAGCTTCTCGTCTTCATCAATTGCAACCAGAGACTCGTGGGAGTATTGTTGACTTATCTGCGGGTGAAGATGATGAAGATGATGGTGAGGATGATGATGATGAAGAAGACGAAGAATTAACAGACGGTATTGCGGCATTCCGAAGATCATTGGTAAGAGAGTGACACCACGTAAACTATTTAAGCTGACTTGTACTTTGAATTGAATGGCTCAACTTGAATGAATGATATCATCCGGAAATGTACTTGTAATCTACGATCAAAATTTTCTGAGTACGAATAAAAACGCCATTAAAGGTGAATACGATGAACGAAATCATATAATATATGCATTTTATGTCTTGGCTTTCATGCTCTAGTGCTTTGTCGTATTAGTGAGGCGCTTGGCTTCCAGCTTTGCCACCACCTCAGCCTCTAAACGCCGAATATCTTCTATTGTAAGACCATACCACTCATCCGTCTGACATTGTGCTTGACGTAGAGTACTATGGAACAATTGTCGTTGCTGATCGCGAATCATCTTCTCTGCCTTTAAATTTCAGTATCAAAGTGCCAATAAGTCGTATAACTATCATTCACAACAATGTCTATACCTTGTTTTGTACGCCCCAATAATCAAAGTTAATGCGTACAACCTTGTAGCAAGTCATGATAGGGTCCACGGTCTTCATCCAGCCTCGTGTAAGCGGTCCACGCAACGTTTTTTTGGACTTGTACTACAGAAAAAATCAAAAACATTTTCAAGCCTTATAATTGAAAATTATAGCAAATTTCTTCATACCGCGGCTGGGTCATAATCCTCCTTTAGTGTCTGCTTGGTCATTTTTTCAGCAATATCCAACCTGACAATCAAACCTCCGTTCATTCATATTCCTGACATCAATCATCATTTTAGCAACCGTACACTTCGACCTTGCGTTGACTCAATTCTTTCTTAGTCAACCCCAGCACATTCTCGGAATCACCACGATCTGCCTTGTGCATGGACTCAATTGAGATATAAAACTTAGTTTTGGCCAGGTAACCATTGACAATGACAGTCACACAGTGTGGATATGAGTTCCACGCCTCTTCTATCAATACCATGCTATCTTCTGGACAGCTACATATCAACACCACGATAGCTGTGAATTAGCAGTAGATAGTATTCGCAAATGCATAGACATAACTATCTTACAATGCTGAGACAAAGCTGGGGATCTTTGACTTGCAGTAGTAATGTTTTCGTGTATATTGGCCTTTGTTACGTGGAACCGTCCAGCCTGAGATGCTTGATATGCTCATATGTCCATCTGTATTGTCATAAGGTTCATTCACAAGAATTTCCACGCCTTCACCATCACCTGTAAGTTGTTCACTGGCGTTTACGACCATAAACAACTGCGCAATTTGAAAATCCTCGACACTCATGTGTAGAGGGACACGAAACTCATGAATCATCACCATACTTGCTTTTTAAAAGAGACTCTGACAATAGATAGAGGACAGACTCAACTCTAAGCTTTACGTTGATGAATTCTATCGACTATAGTGTACGCAAGGGGGACACGTTTATGCATTCGAAGAAGCACTCTGATAGAGCATACTTTTTGTTCGAACGTAAAAACAGTACATCTTTTACGACACGTAGTCAGCTTAAACGTCGGATCATGGGCAACAGCGACAGTAAGAGCAAGTTCCGCGAGAGCGTGTACAAGCTTAATAATGAAATCATTAGTAGTAAAAACCTCGAGTTCTGGGACAAGTTATGGCGAATTCCCACTGTCGCAGAGGAAATATTTACTCTCATTCAGCCGGATGACGTGCGGATGTTACGTCATCAACAGCCCGAGAATTTGGGCACAATGCTTAAGCAAGCCGTTTCTCAGATAGTACAGATCGTTGATACTCCTGTACCAAAATATTATCAACAAGCACTTAATTGTGTACGTGTCTTGACACGTCTTGTCCCTTTCATTCTCGAAGAAGGTGTCGACGAGTTTGTCGAGCAGCTTTTTTGGAGTGTTGAAGACAATGAAAGTCCAAAATCGGATGGCGAAGACGATGAGATTAAAGAAGAAAGAAGTGGTGCCGAACCGTTAGCAAAGCAGATGATTCATGCTATTATGGGGCTTTTATTTCTACCAGAATTTACTGTTTCGATCCATGCTTACAAAGGGTACGGTGAAGAACGACGAAGTACCACACGTAGTGGTCAGAGTGCGACAACTGGATCTTTAGTCTTTCCCTCGTTGCTATGGCACTCGGGAGTAATGTACCCTGATGCAAGTGTAATGAATTCATCGAGCTATGATCGAAATCGGAAAGAGGTGCTAGCACTACTATTAACGTGCTTTTCAAGCATTTTGTATCAAACTGCTGAAAAGTGTAATCAATGGAAAGATCGGTTCTTAGAAGTGGCTACTGCTCCCGATTGCCCCTTTGCACCAACTCTATTTTATTCCTTGCTGAATATTGTCGTTTCGTACGATCCTGTTGGGTGGGGCGTACCGTACGCAGGTTCGATTGTATCAGACGATCGTGAATTATTGGTCGATATGTCGCTTCAAGTGTTTTTAGTCCTGCTGGATTTTGGTCAGACAACAGAAAGTAATGTTGTCGCGACCCTCAAACCACAATCACGAAATACAACTCCGGTAGATCAACCAAATTTGTCTTCGGTAACTTCAAATCCGGTATTTGATGGAGTGCCAAATGTGTATCGTAATTTACTTGCAACATTGCAGCGACCAGAAGATTTTCAGCTCATATTTTCGGGTCTCTCTCGACTTTTAAACAATTATCATCAATCAATGAGCACGTTGCTGCCAAATTCAATCAAACAAATCAAATGCCATCAAGAATTGTTAGTGCTTCTATGGAAACTGTTGGATGAAAATGCCGATTTCTTACACTTTGTACTTAAGAAAGCAGATGCGAATCAATTGGTTGTACCATTGCTGTTTTTAATGTACGAAGGAAGACAAGAACCAGCAAAAGTAGGTATGATTCACATCTGCACCTTTATCTTGCTTTTACTAAGTGGTGAACGCGATTTTGGTGTTAATCTCAACAAACCATTCAATAATCATCTCCCACTCGATTTGCCACCGTTTTCAGGTAACCACGCGGATCTTTTACTTGTGTGTCTTCACAAAATCATTGTCACGGGATATGAAAAGCTCAATTCCGTGTATAATTGTTTCTTGACCATTATTTGCAATATCTCACCCTATTGCAAGAAGCTTCATATGGTCTCTGCAGTTCGACTCTTGCGTTTGTTCAAGTTATTTGCACAGCCAAGATATCTCTTTGACAATGAAGCGAATCATCATCTTGTCTTTTTCTTGCTCGAAGCATTTGACAATATTATTCAATATCAATACGAAGGGAATCAGCAAGTTGTGTATGCTATGGTACAGAACAAAAATGTTTTTTACCAACTGAATGATCTTCAATTACCACCAATTCGTGAAGGTAAAAAGCCAATAAAGAAAGATGGAGATAATGATGAGCAGGAAGTTGCTCCAGGAAGTGAGTGTGGATTTGTACCTACGGTCGAATGGCTTGCTGCGTGGAAGAAGAGACTTCCTTTGACAACAAGTTTACGTTTACTTCAGCACTTGATTCCTTTATTAGAAGAAACGTGTAAGAAAGCGGGTGGAAGTCTTGATGAAGATGCGATGCTATACTTTTTGCGTACGACGACAATGGTAGGATTGCTACCTGTGCCACATCCTATTGTGATTCGAAAGTATCAGATCAATCAGTTTACGCATCTCTGGTTTACGACATTTACATGGGGCGTTATCTTTCTACGCAACCAGGTGCTCCCCCTCTTTGACGGTGGAGCGATCACACTCTTTACCATTAGTGTCGTTTAATAAAAGGTACCAGACGTAAGTAGTCAATGCATTGATGAGTCAACAAGTTTAATATTGTCCTGTATAACTTTAACGTTATTGATACAACTCGATCTCTGTCGGAAAGACTAATCATCCTGAATATTTTCCTGTCTTCACGGCATTGGCACGGACAATAAATGAAGTAGCAAGTTCTCCATCTTTTCCGCTCGCTGGGTTGCGTTTGCCTCTGCGACTTCATCTTCATAAGCATCTCGACGTAGTCGGTCTTCTGGTAGTCCATTCTTTGAAGAAACGACAAGATTTGACTGATTCGAGCCTGCACTAGAAACTGTTGAAGCTGTCGATGTGTGTGAGTTTGGTCCTTGGTACTCATTCAGTGCCAACACCTGTGAGTGCATCATATCTTTTCCACCACTCACGCTACTCGGAGATACAAGGCATCGACCAAATACAAATGCCAATTTTTCCGGTGACAATTTATTCTGAGCACTATGTTTAATCACTTCTCGTAAAAACGAGACCAGATAGATGACGACATTGTAGCGCACGGGTGTCAAGCCATCAAGTAACACTCGACAACCTTGAGCCAGATTGCCGTTCGTATTCGCGACTGCAAATGCCAATGCTTCATCAGGCACGACGCTCTGGCGTAAAGTTTGAAGCCATCGAACGAGCAGCTCTGCCGTCGAATAGCCACTATGATGTGGAAATGGAGCTCCTGTATCTAGCGCTTCTCGAAGCTGAAAAATCTCTACTTTACTACCTGCTTCGACAAACAAATTCTTTTCCTGCATAAAATTCTCGTAAAGATCGTTAACCATACGCCATAGTTCCTTGGGCACTTTTTGCGCACCGCTTGGAGACGCGAGGCTGCACGATCCACTTGACGTTTGAGATGCAACCAGTGAGTTTGCGTCCACTCCCGTAGGTCCACCTACCCAAACACTAAACACGGATGCTGCAGGTGTGCGTGCAGCTGTAAATTTGGCTTGTCGTACAGGTTCAGAACATGCAACAAGTTGCTCGAGTGAGCTTCCAAAACACGAATTCGCGTATTGACCAGAGACGACAAGAAAGTAGTCGCGACCGTTTTCAACACGCAAGATCATCGTATCGTCTAGTGATTCTTCACCACTTGTAAGACCATGTGCGATAGTCTTTTCTACCAAAGCAGTGATACAGATCTCCATCTTTTCACGAGGAGGGATCATGCCAAACATCGGAGTCACACTAAGCCACGATTTACATATTTTAACATCTTCTAGCTTTGGAATAAAACGAAAGTGTGCGACGACAAGTCCGGTGTTCTCAATCGTCACAATTTTCTTTTGTTCGACGCCATATTTTAATTGTGCAAACGTAAAGACACCACTGCTTGTGACACTACCGCCTTCTTGCAGCAATCGAACCTTGGGCATGTTTTCATTCTCCCATTTATCTAATTGTAACATGATATCACGAATGACATCATTCTTCTTGGCATCAACTTGATCGTTCACTTGAATATCAAACAGTGCATGCACTGGTTTGTGATCGGATAAATTTAAAGTTAGTACAGATGAATAGCTACACAATTTCACATCAGCTGGATTCTTCGCTTTCCAAAGTACACGATCACACCAAGCTGGTGCGCGCAACTTTTTTTCTGGTCGCTTTTCGTACTCCGAGGTACCAGCTTGAAACTTGTACGTAGGTGGAAACAAAAGAGGTCCTTCTTCAAATCCTTTCAATACTCTACCAGCACGTCGCTCTTTCAGAAGTTGATCATGCTGCATGAGTTCATGATATGATCCTCCACTTTCTGCAAGTCGAAAAATCTCTTCGGTCGTCAATGTATCTTGGATACGATAGTTTAAATCTCCGATCCAAAAGACAAAATCATGGTTTAATATTGACGGTTCTCCATTCCAAAACCTACCACTGAAAGTATAGCAAACTATAAAGAGAGTACACAACGAATTGACGTGCGAACATCATTTGTACGCACCTTAGATCTTGTACTGGTGGTGTCACATTTTCATCGAAAGATTCTTCAAACTGAATTTTACTTAAAATATTCAGATAATCTGCATTCCTTCCAGCAACATTTTCTCGATGTGCCGCTAGATGAGCACACACAAAGCATAGGGTACTACTATAGAATTTGAGCCTCACTGCTGCGCCACCTTTGTTCCCCATCATGCCCATGATCCCCACACCAGCAGTCGCTCCTTTAATCTCCTTTACATGATCCCAATGGTCAGTTCTTACAAACACTAGTAATAAAATCCCAACAAGATGTTTCTCAAGTACAACTCGGTACTGTACTGGTCTTTCAGTCCCATCAGAGACTCCAATATATCGATTTAAAGCTGTCAACACAACTTCTTCCCATGCTGTACTACGCTGCACTGTAAGTGCGCTATTGACCACGACATTGACAGCATTTAAATCTACAATCTCTTGAAAACCTAAAGCTACAACATCCGGTGGTTCTTGTCGAATTTCACTCGGTGGCTGCAGCCACTGAACGATCTTGTAGGCTTCAGTAGAATTCAATGGCTTCTTGGCATTGACATTCCACGTACCAATAACAATGCGTGTAGAACGGAGCTCAGTATACAAGGACTGACGCAACTGCAGCTGCTGTTGGATCCAGTCTTCACGGATAATATCCATCACGACAGGATTGTAGTATTTTCCATTTGCTGATTGCGTAGTCGAGGAGATTGGGGAACAAGGTGAACCAAGTGACTCCGACTTGCAGCTCTCGCGGCTGGATGGACCAAGCGATGAAGCCATTGCGACAGAATTACCGCAAGATTTAAGCGGCTTTTGAATCTCGAACAGTCGTAACGCCGAGCACTGACTAGTTTTGGGATAAATGATACTTTTTGCATAAATAGTAACCTATTTTGATACGTTATAAGAAGACAAAGGTTTTATTTTTTTGGGTTCTCTAGAAGAATTCATAGATTAACTCTGTGCGTAAGGTCATAAGTGCTCAGATTCTCTCTGTGTGTGGCTATGGACGGGCGCAACGGCAAGTGGGTGAATGTAGACTATACAAATCGTATTCTTGAAGAGTCAGTGGCGTTGTCTTGTGGACCGATGACAAATGATGCGAACACTAGCGGCCAGAACAACCTCTCGCCCTTCCTTCCAGCAACTGGCGGTCAATACGAACGTAACATCACGTCCTCAACGTCTTCTATACTCAGCAATGCATCTTCTAGCATTCAAGTTGTTGTGAGCGAGCCGGTGAAGCAAGGCGAGGGTATAAACTCATACATTTCATACAAAATTAGTACGACCACCACTCGTCCACAATTTTCCAAGCGCTCATTCTCTGTCGTGCGTCGCTACAGTGACTTTGTATGGATCCACACTCATATAAATGCCATGTATCCTGGTGTCGTCGTCCCTCCTCTTCCTGAAAAGCTTTTAGTTGGACGATTTTCGCCTGAATTCATTGAAAGCAGACGTCGAGCATTACAGGTTTTTCTTCAACGCTGTTGTCTTCACCCGGAATTGCAGCATAGTCAACACTTGATTACATTTCTTGAAGCAAGTGAAGATCAATTGCAGCAATTTCGAAAAGATCCACGTCATGCAGCTCCCAATGCTCAGCGTGGCGTGCTATTTCAATGGCTAGACGAAACTGTCAGTACTATTTCATCGACTTTAATCCCACCGACATTAAATCTACCCAAGACTCCAGCGGATCTAGAAGTTGATGAAATGGTTTTATATATTGAAGGATTGGAACCAATTATGACGGGATTGCATAAACATGCCCACGGATTAACAAAACGTGCACGAGAGATTGCCGACGGACTCTTTGAGTTTGGCGTGTCATTTACATTATTAGGAAAATCTGAAGAAATTTTATCATTGCAAGAAGGTTTAAACGAAATTGGACATTGCTTGGATCGATTGTCGATTTTAGCGGCAGAACATGCTGAACGGGAGGCGCTACATTTTGAAGAACCTATTTTTGACTACATTCGACTAGTTGGAGCTGTAAAAGCTGCATTACAGAAAAGAAATGACGTTCGATGTACATATGGTGCTGCCGTTGCGACGTTAGAAGCAAAAGAAGCGGTTTTGTCGAAATTATTGAAACATAGTCGAGGAAATGCCGACGATAAAGTGCAAGTAGCAGAGGCAGAAGTGCGTACAGCGCAAATGCAGATGAAAGAAGCGAAAGCAGAAGATGATATTGTTACGGAGCGTGTGCTACAAGAGGTCGAGCGGTTTAAACGAACAAAACTTGTGGATTTTAAGCATATTATCTTGGATTATATCCAATTGCAGATTGAGTATAGCAAAAAGGTCGAAGATGAGTGGCAGAAAATTTTGCCAAAGCTTGCAAGGATTCAAGTTGAACACAATGAAACAGAATCCTCAACAAGACTTTCGACCGATAACGTGACAGAACTTTCACCGGAGACGAAGATTCATGAAGATTATATTCCAACCAATGAAGAGCTGGGGAATAGTCTCGCAGACCTTACTTTAATGACACATGACTCTGGTATGTATCAGCAATCACCATATGGAACTCAAACTTTGGAAGAATCAAATCGGGATGTGTCAATATAGGAGAAAGTTGAAAGAACTTGCATCATGTATTGGCGAAATGTAAGAAAAATATATTGTTTTTTTCGTCTAGTGATTAGCTGTACGATGCTGAGTTGAGCGTTGAGCAAGTGCAGTAGCAAGCTGATCTCGGGAAGGTAAGATCCAGCGTGCATAAGAATCTTTGTATTTGAATTCTCCGGCAGCTTCTTTGCGGTTGTATCGAAACTCTGTGCCATGATATAGCGCTATCCCAGCTATCACAGTAAGGACAGTGCAGAGTCCTAAAATGACGACTTGTTTGAATGAGAGTTCTATCAGTTTTTGAAATGAAAGCGGCGTCAAGTTCCGAGCTAATGCAACACAAGTACTTGAGCGAGGACCAAACGTGAGGTTCACGGGATAGTCTGCGTATAGATACAAATTGCATGGTCCATAAAATTCTACACTTTCACCTCTTGCGATTCGCATATAGCCATCTTCGCCCCACATCGTTCCCCATGTATTTCGAAGAATCCAGTACTTTTCACCCCTTTCCGTCTCACCAAATCCTACAACAACAACAGCATGATTGACTTCGACTCCATCGTTTGAACAATCTTGAGCATCGTAGATTCCTCCACCATAATGACGAAATCCATTACCACCAGCGTCAATGTTGGCAGTCACAGGCCCTGTCATCACAGCTCGTAAAAGCGCTTCTTCATTTGAAGCTACCACTTTGTAGTCGGAGAGTTCTGACTTCCATGTCACAGAAACGTTCATGGATTCCGACAAACACAGAGGATGCGTTTCATTCGTTGCCATTGCATATGGGTAATCATGTTCACATGCAATACCATGAGGTGGGGCAAGTTGTAGGTATGAATACGTAAGGAATGGCATACCACCTAAACATCCTTCTGATGAACTTGTCATTTTGTCATAGAACTTACTCTGAATATGGTCTAGCTCTCCTGAGCAACTAAGCACTTGTTCCACACTTAAAAGTGGCGCTATCACATTATTTTCAATGGCAAATCTCGACTCAATGACTGCTACCCCTGCAAAAGCCCAACAACTTCCACATGTTCCCTGGTTCTTAATTGGCGTCACATACTTCCCTCCATCTTTCGTTCTCCAGTCCAATCCCTTAAGAATTTCAATTTCCTCTTCTTTTGTGTTGATAGGGTCTAAATCAAAGCCAATCGTCACCTGTTTGCCTCTTTTCATATGGGTTTCTCTTGCCTGCTCCTTCACATGCATTCTTTCAGCTAGATTTTTATCTGGTTTAGACATCAGAAAGGCTTGATATTGTTCGTCTGTCAAGTCACTGAGATTGTTGTAACTCATGTAATAACTTTTCAAGCCTGCCGCGTGCAAGGCATTAGTTTCGTCCACTATTCGCGCCGTTTTGGCAAAGGCTTGAGCTCTTAGTTTTTCCGTAGCCCTCGTAGGTCCAAGATAAATACGCTGCGCTTGATTCTGTTGTGTACGTAGCTCCAACTCTGTTGCTGCTTGTATGGAAGCTATCGTGGTACCACACATAGCACCAGAAAGCAAAAAAATACGCAAAATACAAAAGAGTGAGCTGTTCATTTTGAATGTCAAGACCGGACGTCGCTGCGGACAGAGCGACAAGACACGACAGACTCGAGACACAGCAAAAACACAGGACTTAGTGCGACAGAGAGACCAAGGAGAAGTGTTAGAACCTCAGGAAGAGGCGGCGAAACAGGTCTCGTGCTCTCAGGCATTTAAAATTCGACTTAGTGTACTTGAATGATTGGTGCGAAAAAACACGAATGTTGCTTTGAGGAGTTCAAAAATCTCGATAATCACACAGTTTTGATTGGCAGTAGCAAAAAATATTTGTTTTTTGATGTCTGATTTGTCGAGTGCAATTTTTCTTATTTTACGTAAAATTCGTTACAGCAGCAAGTGGAATTTTCTCAATTAGTTTGTACGCAGTCTTCATCGGTATGGAAACAAGAGAACTTTTAAACGGATTAATCTGGTGCTATAGCGGACATAAGTGATGTAGATTATCGCAAATAGAGTCTTGGGTGCAGAAGGCATGGAGTTAATTAGCCTTGGGCCAAGGGTAGTTACTCTTGGGTAAGGGGACTGCGATCACTGGTTATTAGTATAGAACGTAGTCAAATGCCTTAACCAAGCTTCCCCAAAGCCAAAGAACTGCGGCAGCATCGCTGCAGTATAGAATCCTTCCATTTAAAATGTAAGCTGTATTTCTCCGTTTAATTTTAATTTGTGGCAAAAAGCCGCCTATATCTAAATCTACCGTAGTTAACGAAAAGATTAATTGAGGCATTTTCAAATAGCGGTTGAGTTAACATTAAAAGTGACCAATTCTCACTAGAAGTTGTAATTATTTTGTGAACTTTTGTTGTACCATTTTCAAAATTCAAACAAGTGAAAAAAGCTTTATTCCAGGTCCAAAGATCGCTG